TGAGCTGCCCTTGCGCTGCCGTGATTCATCGCCAGGAGGAGATGGGGCCCCGTGCAGCGCATGGCAGAATGGAGGTGATCTTGCCCAGCTTGCGCTTTACGACATGTACCTTTTTGTTTGCGAGGGGAATTCGGCCCCCGTTGAGTTTGTCTAAAGTCTTGCTGCGCCCCTGCCCAAGGGTGACATGGGGGGCCAACTTCAACAAACTCGCGTTCCTGAAGCTGCCCGGCCCCTTGCTGTGTCAAACACGGATTGCAAGATCATTGCGTCTTGCCTTGCGTCGCCAGAGGCCGTCAGTTGTTGGACAGCGCGTTTCACCTTGACGCGCAGCTGTTCATGTGGTCTGTACTTGATGGGTGCCATGACTCTGGAGCAGCATTCCTGGACGTGAAAGCCGCGTTCCCGAGCATTTCTCATGAATGGATATTCGCAGCGCTTGAGGCAGCCCGGTTTCCACCCTGGTACGTCCACGCTGTCGGAAGCCTGTGCGCCGGCATTCGGATTCGCGTTCGGTTCCGAGGTTGCCAGGACCAATGCTTTGAGCTTTCAAGTGGTGTGAAACAGGGCTGCCCTATGTCAGGTGTCATTCTTGCCGTCGCCGCAGACTGCATCAACAGATATGTGCTGAACTGTTTGAAGCACGACCTCTCTGATATCCTGGTCTTCGCTGATGACCAGGGCGTGGTCGCACATGACATCTTCGCTGCACTGCCGAAAGCTCTTCGCGAGCTTGCATTGGCATCCAGGGCCCCTGGCCTCGTTATCCACCCTGAGAAAACGCACATTGTGTGGCCCAGGGACTTCGACCGTTCGGCGGTTCTGGTTAAGTTGCATGTCCATGTGCCTCGGGCTGAGCGCTTCAAAATCGCGCTGGCTGCGAAGTACCTCGGGATATTTATGGGCATGAATGCACGTGCTCTGTCTTGGGCCAAGCCTATTCAATAACTGCAGAAACGTTGTCGGCGCATTCGAGGGCTACAGCCTGGCCTAAGTATGAGTATGCTGACGTATAAACCATTTACGCAGCCTGTCCTGAGCTTTGTAACGCAGCGCCACACTGCGACGGATGAAGTGCTGAAAGCGGAGCGTGAAGGCCTCCAGCTGCTCATCGCCAGCCCGCGGCACTCCTTTGGCCCCGAGATGATGTGTCAGCTGAAGGAGTTCAGTCTCTCTCACCAGCCGAGGCCATTTAGCGCCGTTGCTCGCTCAGGGTTGCGCCGTGCTGGGCTCAGGAGCGAGGCCTTGCAGATGCGGCTGAAGCAGTTTGAAGAGATCTTGGCTAGAATTGATTGGGTAGTGGCTTATAAGTGGGTGCCCTCTTCTCGGGACTTTGTTTTTTTTATATCCAGGTTGTGAATCAGTTAAAGATTCGTCGTGGCCAAGTTGGTGTGTCCCAGGCTTCTGAATCAGAACTCCATGCCAAGATCTCTTCCGAGGTAGTTACGAATATATATATATATATATATATATATATATATATATATATACATACATACATACATACATACATGCATGTATATATATATATATGTATAGTATTCGCCTTCGAGCTTGTTGCTACCGAGACTACAGTATTGGAACAAGCAAGCCACCATGAACCAAGCCGATGAAATTACTGAGCGCCTCAAGGTCCTCGCCTCGAAACTGCCCGGCTCGTGCGTTGTCGCTACCCTCAAAGCCCTCGTAAATGCGTGGCCCCACTTCTCGTCGTTATCGCCAGGGGGCACAGGTATGTCGATTCGGTTGTCAAGCTGTGGGAGGTGATTCAGTATAACACTATGTGAGTTGCAATGTAATTCGTCATTTTCTCGCTCACTGCTTGCCTTGTCCCCCTGCTGATTAGGGCGATGGGGATCGCACGTATGCGCGGTTTTTGTTGCTGCCACCCCTCGTCTTGCCAAATCTCGATTATGCTCGGTTGCGATCGCGTTCGATTTCATTTTTGCCTCTTTCAACTCCCTCCGCGCTCGACAGCTAGTTTCGGCGGAGGTTGGAGTCTTAGCTTTGTCGAGCAGGCTCAGAGCTCTGTGTACTACATCCAGGTTAGTACGGCTGCTGGCACAAGGTCGGGGCCCTTTCCAGCCTGCCACTTAGCTCTCGTGCCGCGCTGCTGCCGCCGCTCTCAACTGCCGCCCGCCGAGTGCTGATCATCGTCAGCATCACTCGCTCGCTCGCTCGCTCACCCACCCACCCGCCCACTCACTCACTCACTCATTCACTCATCACCATCACTCGCTCACTCATCACTTCGCCATCACTTACTCCCTAGCTTGAATATGGAGGAAGTTTCCGGCGGGAGCCCCCTCCCTATGGGCCCGCCGATCATGTTGCGAATCCGAGAGGGTCATCGGAAACTTGTAATTGTCGTCACTTTTGGACTCTTGAGGCCTGAACGCGGAGGAAGTATCAGGCGGGGACACTCGTCTGTGAGTGAATTGCGAGGAAGTCTCAGGCGGGGGCCCCTCCCTATGGGGCCCGCAGATCATGTTGCTAATCCGAGAGGGTCATCGGAACCTGTAGATGTCGTCACATTTGAGTTCCTCAGGCCTGAATACGGCGAGAGTCTCAAGCGGGCGTTGCATGGGAGAAGACGTTGGCCTCGGACAGCCGAGGCCTCCTGGGCCTTCGGCACCAGCGCGAGAATTTTCTGCTCGGCTACGGCATGGGCATCTATTGGGCGACGCTCGCAAGGTGGATGAACACGCGCGCTCGTCGCGACGCGCGGCGTCTGGGCGTGCCCCTCGTTTTCCTGCGGGCCGCGGACGAGTGCGGCACGATGCAAGGCAACCCAGACGCGGGCCGGCGCTTCCTGAATGTCCCGAACATGCACAAGACGGGGGCCATCCATGGCGTTTTACCGGCACGCGTCGGCATGGAGGTTCGGATCACGGCCGCGCAGGAGGAGTTGAAGGAGAAGAAGAAGAATAAGTTGGGGCCCGTGCAGGGGCAACGCGCCACCATCGCGTCCTTCGAGTTTCACGCAGACGACGAGCGCGACTAGGAGGAGTGCTCGGCTGGCCAGCTCTTTCGCCTCTGCTACCTACCGCAGGGAATCTGGCTGCAGGTCCGCGGTTTCAAAGAGTCCCCGATCTACCAGGGGGCCGCCGAGCTGCTGCGACAGGGCGCCAATGTCACCGACGACGACGGCGAGGCCGAGGCGCGGGCGAGAAACGTGCTCGTGTTCAGGCCCAGCGAGCAGGAGCTCACGTGGCAGAGCTCGGGGACGCACGCTGCGCGCCGCTCGGGGTTCACCCCGACGCACGCGCCCTTCTTGACCCCCGCGCTGTCGCAGGGCCAGGCGCCGCGCAAGGGCGTCGCCATCGACTGCGCGAGGGGCGAGGACGTTGGCCGCAGGGGCATGTCTGACGAGCAGCGGTGGGCGCACCTCCACGTCATGTTCTCCCGCGCCGCGCGCGTGCGGAACATGCTGGTCCTGCGGCCGCCCTCGCGCGAGTTTCTGGAGCGCGGGCCGCCGGTGCTCCGGCGGGAGGCGCTCAAGAAGTTCGATGAGGAAGCGAAGACCTCCAGGGATGAGGCCGAGCAGCTCGCCGCGGAGCTCGGCTTCGCGCTGCCTCCCGCCTGAGCGCCGCGGCGCGCAGCTAGAGGCCCGCGGGGCTGTCTCAACGGCGTGGCTCGCGGGGTCGCCCCGGCGGCCCGGCCTCGCGCCGCAGCGGCCCGCGGGGTTGCCCCATAGGCGTGGCCCGCGGGGCTGGCCCAAAGGCTCCGCTATCTAGCCGTTGGCGAACGCGCGCGCGTTGGCCGAGGCGGCGACGGCGCCGAGGAAAATCGACTTGGTCGCCCCGGCCAGGGGGAAGGGGAGGTGCGCATGGAGAAGTGACAGGAGGAGGATGAGGAGGGGGGAAGGGGTTGATGGGGGGCCGACGATGGGGACGAGCTGGAGAAGGAGGAGGAGGAGGAAGAGGAGGAGGAGGAGGGGGAGGACGGGGATAGATAGCAGGAGGAGGAGGAGGAGGAGGAGGAAGAGGAGGAGGAGAGGGAGGAGAGGGAGGAGGAGGAGGAGGAAAAGGAGGAGGAGAAGGAGGCCGAGGAGGAGGAGGAGGAGGGGGAGGAGGAGGAGGAGGAGGAGGAGGAGAGAGCCGAGGTCTGGGCGAGAGGAGGATGTCTGCTAGGGCGACGGGGGGACATTTAAAGGCAATTTACACAGATTATCATGCGGGGTCGTACCGTCGGAGTAATTTCAGCGTTGTCATTCTTTGTTGGGGCCTGGAAACTCGAAAAAAAACATTCCCAAGACGCCGAGCAGAAAACACTATCGAAAACGCCCTGGGCAGAATTATCAGGAATCAAGCTACACATGCATTGTCACAACAATGCAATGCATCACAGAATCGCGAGGTATAATATTGGGCGAGGCGGTACGCAGGGGATGCAGGAGCGGAAGCAGGGAAAAGGAGGCGGAAGGTGGGATTGGGGGGAGGGAGGGATGTGGGGGGGGATACAACGGGCAGGTGGCGAGGAGCTACGGGTAGCGGCAATGTCAGGGAGGAGGGAGGGAGGGAGGGGAGATGGAGGGGGGGGCGGAGAAGGGAGGAACTGTGAGGGGAAAGGGGCTGGAACGGGAATGATTGCGCGAGGCGGGGAAACCGAGAGGGAATGGGGGGCGGTGAGGGAGGAAGAGGGGGGGGGGGAGATGGGATGGATGGGGCCAGGGAGAGGGAAAGAGGGAGAGAAGGATGCGTGAGCGTGGGGGGAGTGGGGGGCGGGAGCGGGAGTAGGAAAAGAGATCGGCGGGGAGCAGGTGCTGGCAGAGGGGAGGGGGGGGGAGAGGGGGGGGGGAAGCAAAAGAGGGATGTTTTTCGGGAAGGTCTCGTTGCCCCCCCTCCCCTTCGGGCAAACATGCCCGCCCGATGTGAAATCGCCCAGAGAATGGCGGATCCGAAGTCGGGCTGTTCGCACGCCCCCGAGTTTGGCTCACGCCGCGCAGCGGCGCCCCCCTCCTTAGGCCCTTTTCCTTCGGCGGCAAACGATGCCGCTCTCAGTTCGACCAGGGCACGCCCCGCAGAGAGGCGAGCATGTCCCTCGCGGGGGAGCGCTTTCGTCCTGCCCTCCGTGTTTCCATACTGTCACACCTTCTGCCCCCCATTGCACCTCCTGTTTGCATCCTGTCACACCCCTTTGCCCCCCGTCCCACTCCACGGTGTCCTTGCTTCCCCTCTCCTCATGTTGTTGTTTCGCCACCCGTTGCTGCATCCATCTTGGCGCAAGGTCAAAGATGCTCGCACCAAGACGCGCATTCAAAGACTACGGCGCTGGGATGCCCCCCGTCTAGTATATACCACAGCGTTTGCACCATATGTTCAGTGCGTCCCCTCTTTACTATACGTTCGGTGCGCTTCGGCGCATGGGCAAACATAGGGTTTGCGTGGTGTTTCACGTATCCTTACCAGCCCATTCAGAGACGACTCGTAGACGAGTTACTGCGATAAGTGGCACCGACAAGTCAAGCGATGTGTATTAAATAGTTGTTCGTGGGTGCGTGTTTCTTGCCGACGCCCCTTCTGAACTAGCACGTGCGACGTCGAAGATATCGTTTGCATGATGATGTCTGAACGAGCGGTGTCTGCCGCCCTTGGTTGGGACGAGGTCCCCCCCCTGTGGCAGTGGAAATATTATTCGGTGGTCCAGAACCCCCCTGTCAACGGCGGCGACGCCGCCGCCAGCAAGCGACGCGGACGGCGACGACAGAAAGGACAACGACGACGACGACGACACGACGCAGGACGAACGACGACGACACGACGCACGACGCACGACGACGCCAATGCCCGCGCCCACGACAGCGCCGCCGACGACGACGACGATGATGACGACGACGCCGACGCCGCCGCCGCCGACGACGGCCGACGACGAATACGACGAATACGACGAAAACGACGACGATGACGACGACGACGACGAGCACAGTAGAGCAAATGTGGAGTAGCGTATCGAAGACGCCTACGGCGAATCACCGCCGCCCCCTGCCCTTTCGGAAGCGCCGATGCGGCCGACTGCTGTGGCCAGAGGTCTGCCAAGTTATTGGGCCATATGTTCCCCGAATCGGTCTTTACAGCCTTCGGGGAACACGTGGGGGAGGACGGGGAGGAGAGGAGAGATAGGAAGGGGGGGAATGGAGGAGGAGGTCTCTTGAGTGCCTTTTTGGCTACTCTGGGTTTATATTGGGCCACATGTGCGGTCTTGGAAGCATCTTGGGGGCCTCTTTGGATGCCTTGCGGCCTTCCTGTTCTGCCTGACGCCGTCTGGGCTGGGTTGGGGGCCTCTCTGTGGCCTCACTTGGGTTTATCGTGGCCGTAGTGGACGCCAGCGTGGGCGTTTGGGAGATCTGCCGGGCCGTCTTGGGGCTGTCTTTGGGGCCGTTTTGGGGCTTTCTTGTGCCGTCTAGGGGCGTTCTTGGAGGCCTTTTGCGGGCCTTTTGGGCCGTCTTAGACCATAGGCCATCTTGGGCCGTCTTGGGTGCATCTTGGAGCCATCTTACCCGTCTTGGAGGCCATCTTGGAGGCCATCTTGGGCCATCTTGGCCGTCTTGGAGGCCATCTTGGGCGTCTTGGAGGCCTCTTGGGCCGTCTTGAGGCCCTCTTGGGGCCTTCTTGGGGGCCTCTTGGGCCGTCATGGGGCCATCTTGGAGGCCTCTTGGGTGCTGTTGGGGCGATGTTGGGGACCTCATGGGCCGTCTGGGGCCGTCGGAGAGCTGAAAAGAAGAACATGCCAAAATCCTTCAAAAACCTAAGGAAAATCAATGATTTTAACCTATTCGGGCCTTCCTGGAGGGCGTCTTGGAGGGCTCTTGGGCCGTCTTGGAGGCCTTTTGCGGGCCTTTTGGGCCGTCTTAGACCATCTTGAGGCCATCTTGGACCGTCTTGGGTGCATCTTGGAGCCATCTTACCCGTCTTGGAGGCCATCTTGGCCGTCTTGGAGGCATCTTGGAGGCCATCTTGGGCCATCTTGGCCGTCTTGGAGGCCATCTTGGGCGTCTTGGAGGCCTCTTGGGCCGTCTTGAGGCCCTCTTGGGGCCTTCTTGGGGGCCTCTTGGGCCGTCATGGGGCCATCTTGGAGGCCTCTTGGGTGCTGTTGGGGCGATGTTGGGGACCTCTTGGGCCGTCTTGGGCCGTCGGAGAGCTGAAAAGAAGAACATGCCAAAATCCTTGAAAAACCTAAGGAAAATCAATGATTTTAACCTATTCGGGCCTTCCTGGAGGGCGTCTTGGAGGGCTCTTGGGCCGTCTTGGAGGCCTTTTGCGGGCCTTTTGGGCCGTCTTAGACCATCTTGAGGCCATCTTGGGCCGTCTTGGGTGCATCTTGGAGCCATCGTACCCGTCCTGGAGGCCATCTTGGCCGTCTTGGAAGCATCTTGGAGGCCATCTTGGGCCATCTTGGCCGTCTTGGAGGCCATCTTGGGCCAAGTTGGGGCAACAAAGGCATTGACAGACGGATTTGGGGAAAATTACGGGTGGCCGGCGGGACGGGCCGAAGCCCACTGGGGAGTTCTTTTAGAAAAAGAACCAAAACCAAAACCTGAAACATCCAGCACGCCGTGCACCCCTGTGGCAAGACCACGGGGGGCGGCGGATCTAGTTGCCTTCGGCCCATCCTGCCACCGTACCCAGATTGTGGGTTGCAGGCGTTTTGGATGTTCGTTTGGATATCTTGGGAAGCCTCTCGGGGGCCTCGCGGAGGCTGTTTTGGGGTTTCCTGGGGGCCGTTTTGTTTTGTTTAACCTCCTCACCCCTCGTCCTTTGTGTGCTTTATGTGGCATACATGGTCTCTACAGCAGATCAGGGTTGCGGGGCACTGGCGTGCACAAGGACTGTTGTTGAGCTCGGGCTTCCTCGAGCGTGTAAAACCCCCATGACAGCCGACAACGGTAGCCCGATCGTGGACGAGGCCTCAAGGGGGCAGGAGGGTGTCAACGGGCACGGCTCGCAGGACGCCGCAGGCGACGCGCAGTCTGCGAGGCCGCCAGGTGCTCATTGGGGTCGCCGAGACCCCGCCAACAAACAGTTCGGCGGCACCGACCCGTGGGAACAGCCTCCATTCCGCCGAGGACGACGTCAGCGGTGACCGCCGAAGGACCCCAGGAGGACGCCGCAGCCGGCGCGAGGTCCAAGGGACTCCACATTGGTGGGGATCCAGCCTGGATGGAATTGGGGAGCTTGGAAGTGGAATGAATCGTGGTGGCCCTCGAAGAGTGAGGGCGCGGCGAAGGGACGTGACCCTCCACCGAACAAGGATTTTACGGCTCCACCACCATGCCTTGGAATGAAAGAAAATTTTATACCTCCAGCATTATTTCATGGAGAGCAAGGGCAGCCTTCCGACCTGAGGTGCAAGGAAGACGTGTTCTAGAAACTTACCCCGTCGAGTTCCAGTCAAAGTTTTAGGCGATCAGAAGCTCTGGATTCGAACGACTGCCTCTCCCAGCTGATCGAACATTTAGAGTTCGCTGCTCAACGTGGAGCGCCCAGGAGACAAATAGAGAGGCCCAGAACGCAGTGATGGTTGACTGTGCCATCAAGAAGGGCGGGAGCCGGATTGATTTCATGGTCCGTCGGGGCATTCAGCTGTCGACCGCGGAGCGCATTGCCAGATTCGTTCTGCCCGATTCGGCGCAGGCAAGGCACTTCGAAGAGGGGCGCGGGCCCACGGGACAGAATCTCATCAACCCGTGAACCATGCTGAACGGAAAGAGGGACTTCGCTTCGGTCAGGAGCGCAATTCTGGAGCTCGACGCGTCGGACCAAGGGTTTTTGCCGAAGACGCGGGGCCCGACGAGCTCGAGACCGACCTTCGTGGATTACGCCGAGGATCAGGATAAGCCGGAAGAGAATGACGACGAGGCACACTGCATTGGCATCTACGAGATTTACCCAGATGAGGACGAGCTGAACGCCATTTTGGCGCCCATGGGGACGATCGAGATCTGTCCGAGGACGATCGCAGACGTTTCTGCTGAAGTCGCGACGGCCATCAGGCGCAAGACTTGGCAATCATCCCGGCGAATGAAGAACGGCAGGAGAGCGGGTCGCGACATTTGTGACCGTCGACGAGAGGGCAAGTCAGGCGGATTAGAACAACTCAACGAGACTCGCCGCCTCTTGCGATTTGACTTCTGAAAAAAAGATCCAGGTCGCTCGAACTGCGGAGACAGACGGCGAAGGATATAATATTGCCGAAAGCTATTCAGGAGCAAGGCCGATCGCATGAAGGCCTGGGCCGACAAGGGCCAGAACCCGTCTCACTTATTCGATATGTCGCATGACGCTGATCACTCCGGGAGCTCCTGAGTTGCCCTCCTGAACCTGCCGGGCGTCGCGCGCCAGGTAGGCGTCGCCGAGTCAGCGGCGCAGGAGGGCGACCTGGTCGACGAGGGCCAGGCGGGGCCATCGCTTTCGGAGGGCAAGACCAGGGGGGAGCTGCGGGCCAGGTGGGCCCCAGTACGTTTCACTGCTTGGAGTCTGGCGATGCGACCGCCACGGCGGCCACTCTTCGCGACGCGGACGCTCAGGCTTCAGTGGGCGCGGCTGCTGGCCAGGCTCTGATAGGGGCGCCAGACGTGGACGGCCTCGCGCAGGCCAGCCGGAAGAGGGGCTTCAAGGTCCACATCAGCGATAACATCTCGGACCTGCCCTCGGCCAACGGCGTCGGTCCGTCGGTGGCAAGACCTCGCCAGTATAGAGCAAGCGCCGTTGCCGGCGTCTCCGCGCGGGCGCGGAATCGCCGAGCTTCTCATTGCCTCGCCCGCGCCCCCCGCCGCTGCTGGCCAGGTGCCTGGACTTCCTCAACGCAGTCGTGGACCTGGGCGCCAATGAGCTGATCGTCGGCGCGGGGGGCGAGCGCCAGGCTCTGTCCATGGCCCCCCTCCGGTCATTGAGCTGTCCAGTTGATCGGGCACAGCCCCTCGGAGCGTCGACTTCGCCCGGATCTGGCGAAGCATTTCCCCTCCCGACGGAGCCCCAGGGGCCCCGAGTAGACGCGACGGTCGAGGGCCCGTGATCGGGCGATTGTCGCT